GCCTGGAAGATCTTAGGTCACGTTGAAATTGTTTTAGTCTCTGACCCCTAGGAATTGCATGGTTGCATTTAGTTTTATTACTATCCAATACTTTGTTAAATTTTTTGAACATTTATGGGTCTTGGTTATATGAAAATCTAGTAAAAAATGCAACAGGCTCCTTTCCATTTTTGTTTGGAACCAATTGAGAGAGATGCCAGACAGATGGAGATTATAAGATGCATCTTATTCTTGATAAAATTGGAAATGTAGCTCTACAGTTGAGGCCAGAATATTTTGCTAACTCCTCCTGCCCTCGGATAATTAGACTTATCTGCCCCATGAGTGGCAGCCTCTTATAAGGCATGACTGAGGGGTAGCCAGAGTGTATGTACCCTCTCTATAGGCAGGCTGGCTTCAAGAGAAGAATTGAACGGAGTGTGTTCATTTTCATCTTCCATATTCACTGATCATCCAGTAAGGGCTGAGCTGAGAGACAGATCCTTCTGCATGAAAAGATGAGGCATGGGGGGAATAAGTGTTCGCTTAAACAATTGGGAGAGGTAAGCCCTAAAATCCTGCATATTTTCTAGTTATCCATATGGCGTCCCTTTAAAAAGCCAGGGAATGTAGTCTTTTCAAAAGGAACATGAAGATATAAACCACATGGGATACACACCCAGTCTGTTTATATTCATTAGCAAATCTGGTGGTAAGATTCAGTATGTCCATGGATTGATATTTCAAATTTGATTGAAATCAATCAATAAGGGATTTTTTTTCCCCAAATTTTAATCCTTTGTATTGGTGTCTGTAGATTTCACCAAAGTTTATTATTGCCATTAAATTTCTACTTACCTTTATATAGGAGAAAGTATTTTTTTTTTATTAAGATTATGATAGTTTACAACCTTGTGAAATTTCAGTTGTACATTATTGTTAGTCATGTTGTAGGTACACCAGTTCACCCTTTGTGCCCTCCCCCCACCCTCCTCTTTCCCCTGGTAACCACTGATCAGTTCTCTTTGTCTGTATGTTAACTTCCACCTATGAGTGGAGTCATACAGAGTTCGTCTTTCTCTGTCTGGCTTATTTCAGTTAACATAATACCCTCAAGGTCTGTCCATGTTGTTGCGAATGGGACAATTTTGTCCTTTTTTATGGCTGAGTAGTATTCCATTGTATATATATCTTCTTTATCCAATCATCAGTTGCTGGGCACTTAGGTTGGTTCCATGTCTTGGCTATTGTAAATAATGCTGTGATGAACATAGGGGTGCATGGGACTTTTGGAATTGCTGATTTCAGGTTCTTAGGATAGATACCCAGTAGTGGGATGGCTGGGTCATAAGGTATTTCTATTTTTAACTTTTTGAGAAATCTCCATACTGTTTTCCATAGAGGCTGTACCAGTTTGCATTCCCACCAACAGTGTACGAGGGTTCCTTTTTCTCCACAACCTCTCCAATATTTGTCACTTTTTGTTTTGGATATTTTTGCCATTCTGACTTCTGTAAGGTGATATCTTAGTGTAGTTTTGATTTGCATTTCCCTGATGATTAGTGATGATGAGCATCTTTTCATGTGCCTATTGGCCATCCTTATATCTTCTTTGGAGAAATGTCTGTTCATGTCCCCTGCCCATTTTTAGGAGAAAGTATTTTAATGGTAACATCAGTCTATATCTAAATAGCTTCCCTGGTGTTGTTAATATCTATCCAAAAATGCATAATGTTTGAAATACTGTATTCAAGAGATGCATTGTTTAATTCAGATTTGCCTAATTACAAGTCCTATTGCAGTAAAGACTACTAAAACTTAGTTTCGTATTAAAGGCCTCTAAATCCAGAGGAGAATGTTAACTGATTTTTTCTATGGACTTTTTCTGCTGGACTTTTCTATGCAGAAGGTTGGATCTGGGGCTGGGATTGTTTTCCTGTTTGAGATTTGGAACCTCAGTCCTTTGCTTGTTTCTTAAATGGACCCAACAAAGAGTAGTGGGATGTCTTGATTAAGAATTACCCATGTAGAACACTTATCATACACTTTAGTCGGAATGTAAGAGTAAACATAAGTTCATAGGCTGAACTATTTACTGATAGGGCAAAGGCATTGGGGATGACTTACTGGTTTGTGGTGTCAAGTTGAACTGATTTTCAGGTAAGAAATTAAGTAATGAAATGGCTGAGAATTTCTGATACTGTCTAGTAGAAGTAACACTTAAGTCTTGTTCGACATATTTGCCTCAAGATAAAAAACTGCAGCTAAGGTTTTGGCCACTCGGTACACTTGCCTCAGTGATTGACTGCTAGAGTTTAATGATAAAGGTTCAGGTGAGGCTTCCAGGTCTGCTCACTGCAGTGCTGTGTCTGTGCAGTCCTCCTTCGGAAGCTGTCACTTGGACTAACTCTTAAAACAATAGCTGTGAAATTGATTCAGTTTCACTGGAAAGATTGCCAGCCCAGTGTGCATGAAGACTCTTGGTGATGGCTTAACTGTAGCATGTTTTTCTGTGGTTTTCATAATTCTTTTCCTGTCTAAACGAGAAAATGGAGCTCTGGGTTGTAATCACATTCTCCTCTTCATCTTTTTCTTTTAGCAGCTTTATTGAGATATAATTCACATACCATACAATTCACTCATTTAAACTACAATTCACTTGCTTTTAGTATGTTCAGAGTTGTGCATCTATCACCTTATTCAATGTTTGAACATTTTCATTAGCCTGAGAAGATAATCTCTTAGCTGTCTGTCAGTCTGTTCACTTCCAGAAAGAAAAAAAGGACCTTATCCTGGGGCCACATAGCAGGCTGAACTATTAGCAAGATACTCTATAATTCTAGAATGTACATCATCTTTAAAGTAATAGGTAGTATTTTAACTGTTGTTATTCTGTAGTTTTTTGTAGTAATGAAATATCCTTCATTTCATTTCTCAGGAAAGCTGGCAACAGATGTCATTATAGCACAGTGTGATCGTGAGAGAGAGATCCTTTGCTGTGTTCTCCAGGGCTCAGGTCCCATCAATGCTCAGAGAGGAGCTTACACAAAGATGTGAATACCAGGAAGGTGCAGAGCATGGGGTCTGCCTTAGAGCCTGTCTGCCACAGCCTTTAAATTAGTGAATACTTTCAAAATGTTGCTTCTAATTTACACATAATTTTAATTAACTGTTTTTTCCAGCAACCCTCAATGGTAGGCTGGTGCTGTATATTTCGCTAGTGATTAAATTGAGCCATAGAGATGGTGTTTACTTTGCCAATGGTCGTAGAAAAGTGATCATTATACATGGGACTTCTTCATGTTAGAATATTTCCTGGCTTAATCTATCTACTTCATGAAAAAAAACCACTGAGAAAATTAGTCACTGGGCTTGATCTGCTTGCCTAGGTCTGATTTCCATCTTGAAGAGTCAGTTCACACTTCACCTGCATACCTGAATGGTCACTTATGCCACTGATTTCTGAGTTTCTTGTGACTCTAGATGCTAGAGTATAAATAATATTGGTAAAAGCATTTTGTAAACTGAAAAGAACTTGTATGAATTAAAGCTGATATTGTGACATTAATATTATGATTTGAGAACCTGGCATTTGGAATGCTGGCTCACTAAGTTGTTATTTAGACAAAGCGTATTAATTTTTGAATTATAACCTTGAATTTGGTTATTATTAATACTAGTAAATATGGTTATTCTGGGGGAGCTATTTTAAAATTATAAATATTTTGAGAACCTTAAAAGTAGATACAAAGAACAGTTTTATTAATCTGAGAAATCATTCCTAAATTTTGGAAGAAGAAAAATAAATAACCAAGCACAAAAACTTTTCTTGCTTATATCACCAGACTAGACTTTAAAAGAGATTCTGATCATTTAATATGAAATTGAAAAAATGTAGATGATATTCAGTGGAATCTTTTTCATGTGTGTTGCTCTCTTTGGTTTGATACATTTCATTCCTACATAATGGTGTGTGTGTGTGAGAGAGAGAGAATGAGATAAATGAGATCGATTTTACACATTTCATTGTTTTTACTTTTTTACAAGCAGGGTTAGAAGTTAATACTCTGATTTCCAGGTTGGAACTTTGGAGGTGATTTTTTATATATAATGGAAAGCTGTAACGAGTGAGCTCTTTAGTCCATGAATAATCTGTTTCTCACTCCATTGCTCCATCTATTGGACAAGGGCTGAAAGGTTCAATTTTGAATAGCACGTGACAGTTTTCCTCTTAGAGACAGCTGGCTGTTCATTTAGCTATTCCCCCACCTTAGCATGGCACTGACATGAATAGGGCAGTGTACTGAGGCAGTAGTTCTCTAACTTTCGTAGCATCACCCGGGGATCTTTAGAAATACTGTTTTCTGACTCCTGTCCCCAGATATTCTAATTTAAGTGTGATGGGATGATACCTGGGCATTGGGAGTTTTAAAATCTTTCCAGTAGATTCTGGGTTTTTTTTGAGGAAGATTAGCCCTGAGCTAACTACTGCCAATCCTCCTCTTTTTGCTGAGGAAGACTGGCCCTGAGCCAACATCCATGCCCATCTTTCTCTACTTTATACATGGGATGCCTACCACAGCATGGCTTGCCAAGCGGTGCCATGTCCGCACCTGGGATCCAAACCGGTGAACCCCGGGCCGCCGAGAAGCGGAACATGCAAACTTAACCGCTGCGCCACCGGACCGGCCCCCTCCAGTAGATTCTTATGTGCAGCAAAGTTTGTAAACAGCTATACCAAGGATTGAGAACCTAGAATAATTAATGTCGTTAAGGTAGGCTAAGAACTTTTTGGAAATGAGGTTTATAGCTCCTGGGATTCTGCATTTGATAATGCAGTTTTGCAAAGTTTGAAAAAGATTTTATATTTAGAAATGGAATTTCAAAAATGGAAATTTTAGAATTAGTTTCTTCAATAAATGAGAAAACAAATTTTCCCATGCATTAATCAGTGCTAGCCAAAAGGAAAAAGTCAATACCTATTTAAAATGTGGAAAAATTGCTTCCCAATATTTTAACAGAGAGAGACTGAGAACACACAGCATTGAATCGTCAGGAAAACTGAAGATCTCCCCTGAACAACACTGGGATTTCACTGCAGAGGACTTGAAAGACCTTGGAGAAATTGGACGAGGAGCTTATGGTTCCGTCAACAAAATGGTCCACAAACCAAGTGGGCAAATAATGGCAGTTAAAGTAGGTGATGCCCATAATTATTTTTGGTACTTTAATCCATTAGGTGCAATTTCTTGCTGCAGTAATACTACTGTTGTTCTCTTCTTACTTTTTTTGTAAATTTGGGTGTTTATAAAATTGTTTCTTTGAATTCTTTGAGTGTGTTTTGTATAGAGGTCGTCTTATTGGTGGCACATTTTCTGTCTCTGAAAACATGAGTGTATGAAGTGTGCATGTTCACTGCACTTTTGGCATGATACGTTAACATGTTTTAAACTTCAGGCCCTTCCACTGCCAAGGTGAGTTCAGGCTGGGCGGCTGCCCCCTGGGAGCAGGGCAGTGCTGCACTGAGCCAGGCGGGGAGCTGGAAGAAGAGGCAGCGCACTGGGTTGGGCAAGGTGCGGGGCTAGGGCTAACAGCAGTCTTACTGAAGGTTTCCTGGAAACCACGCACATGCTGTTGCCACTAACCTCAACCTTACTCGGTCCTGACCGGCTCGGCTTCTGTTTGTTTATTTCATCTGCACTCAGTACTGCCCTGTTCCCTGGTTTGAAAGTTATATTGAAATGCATACTTTGTGATAATGCTGTCACATTCTGTCCGTATTGTGAGTGTCATGCCACTTATTATGTTCATTTAAAAAAGAAAAATCAAGAATGGCCAGAACTGGAGATTGGCCCGTAGACTGTCCTGGGCAGGCGTATGTTGGTGCCTGTAATGGACTGATGATTTTCATCAGCTCTTAGTTGGCCTGTGTAATTGTAATCCATTCATTTGTTTGTTCAGATGTTTAATGGATATTTGCTCTGTGTAAGGTATTTCAGGAAAATCAACAATTGGGGCAAGGAGGGAGCAATTTAAAAAGAAAAAGGAAAAACAAGATATGGCTATACATTCATCAAACGTAAAATTCACGTGGGAACAGTATATGTCCCAGTTTGAAAGAATTGAGAACGAGTTTGCAGACAGTCTAAGCTAATCATCTTCCTGTTAGTCCCCTATTTTGAAAGTTTATTAAATTGGCTTGATGAGAGGAGGAGCCTCAGTTCCTTACTTTACTTTTTGGAGTGGATTTGTGTCATATTAATATAAAATGCTACTTGTGTTGAAGTTTATCGTGAGCAAAATGTTACTCTGTTTTAGCCTCCTATTTTTGTTGATCATTTCTCTTTGCTGTGTCATGTAAAACTAATGAGAAAAGGTGGGGGAAGATTTTATGATTCTCTCTATGGGTTCTTAACGTTGTTTTTGGTCATATTTCTTTTACGTTGTGATGAGAAGCATAGACTTTTTTTTCTTAGGAAGATAGACATATAAAAAATTTTGCTTATAACCCACAGACCTCTAAGGATATATAGCCTATGACTTCTGCTCTGAATTATCTGTTGAAGTAAAATGTTGTGTTTCTTGGAATATGAAATGCTTTTTCTAGTTTTATTTTGTGCTGCTGCAGTGTAAGTGGAAAGAAAGTCCTTTTATTTAGACTCTTTTGGATGCATGTTGCATTGCCTGTATGTACTATCTGTACAGGACGTCTGCTTTTCTTGGCTAGGTCTTAAGGGAAAGCTATCCTATATAACTAAAGTTCTAGACTGTTCTCCCAGATACTAGAGAAAGTACTTTTAAATAACTATGTTGTGCTTTTTTATTCTGTGCTATGTGTGCCTTACTTATTATGTTGATCAACATCATAATCTGTTTTAGTAATCTGGATAGACTTTAGCTATGGTTAATAGGTCTTAAAGGTAAATAAAGAAAGTACTTCATTTTGACATAAAAAAAGTTTTTCTTAATTTGATAATATTTGGAACTGTGTAATGATGATTCAAGTTTTGAAGAAATTTAAGAGTGAAAATAGGAAATTGTTGTCCTCCATTTGTAATCTGACCTTATTTTGAGAGCTCCTGTCGGAGTGCTATTAAAAATCCCAATCTAAGAAATACTTCTAAGGTGGTCATAGGACCTCCTTATTGGCATCTGTCACATCTATGCCCACCAGATGCTACTGTTTGCCTTTGTTTATCACCTGGAATTCTTTTTTTTTGGAGGAAGAGCTAACTGCTGCCAATCCTCCTCTTTTTGCTGAGGAAGACTGGCCCTGAGCTAACATCTGTGCGTATCTTCCTCTACTTTATATGTGGGATGCCACTACAGCATGGCTTGCCAAGCAGTGCCATGTCTGCACCTGGGATCCAAACTGGCGAACCCTGGGCTGCTGAAGTGGAACGTGTGCACTTAACTGCTGCGCCACTGGGCAGGCCCTGTCACCTGGAATTCTTGATCAAGCATGATAGTTTAGCATGGGGAGAGTAGTAATATGACATATCAATCAACATGTTGGTGGGATGTACCGTTGGATTCCATGACTATACAATAGTGGAAGAGTGTTTTTGCATTAAGGTACATTAAAATTTGATGCCAATTCGATGATTAATATATGCCATCTACTGCAAGTTTTAAAATGTATTGGGCTGACCCAGCGGTTAAGTTCATGGGCCGAGCAACGCCCGGGATTCCTGGGTTCAGATCCCAGGCTCAGATGTACATGTGTACACTGCTCAGCAAGCCATGCTGTGGTGGCATCCCACATACAGAATAGAGGAGGATTGGCACAAATGTTAGCTCAGTGACAATCTTCCATAAGCAATAAGAGGAAGATTGACAACAGATGTTACCTCAGGGCCAATCTTCCTCACCAAAAAAAAAAAAGAAGAAAGAAAAAAAAAATCTTAAAATGTGTTTATTGTTGGTCTCTTTGAAAAGTAGCCTTTCATCATACCTGAGGGAGTTCGTTCCCTCATTGCTTAGACACAGACTAGATTGACAAGTGCATACACAGAGGTAATGTATGATTAAGGAATTAAGTTGACGTTTTACATGTAGACAACTCAATTACTTGAGCAACTGTGTTTAGCTCTGGTAAGGACTGTAGAAATTTAAAGGAACTTTGAGACAGTGGTTCACACTCCTGTGAGTTTTTCTTTGCTGTTGGTGAAATGAGGAACACGTTTGAAGTAGCTCTATACTAATATTTTAATGTGTACTTTGGGAATATAAAAGAATTATTTTATTAGATATTGAGCTTATCCTAGAAATTATCCTTAAGATTTATTTGCAATATTGTACAAAAATGAACTGTGGAATTAGCCTCATTTTTTAAAATTATTCCTCACTTTTAGCTTTGAGGGAGCCCTTCCCCAAATTATTTTGCCACATATAAGAAATATTTGAAAAGATGACTTCTTAGTTACCAGAAATAATTATCTCCAAGACTTAATCGAAAAATCAGTGGTAATATAATAAATCAGATTCAGCAAGATAACATACAGCATATGTAAGAGTTATACTTAGAACAGTTTCTTCACCTTTGGCTGAAGACAGTTCCCCAAGCTGCCAGTAAGTTCTGTGTTAGGACGAAAGATGTGGAAAATTTTAACTCTTTAGTTTTAATTGCACGTGCCTGGGGAAACAGATCTTGCTCTTCTGTGAGTGAGAGTAATACTATTAGTTTGTCTAACTGCCTGAATGGATGAGTCGTAGGGCTGCCAAGGGCAAAGCCATTGTTGCCACAGGGTCTTCTGAAGCTCAGAAGGACAACTGTTGGCTCTGGCTGGGTACTTCAGGCTTTGATCGGCGTCCTCTGCAAATAACACTTATTTAATGTCCTATTTTGCATGATGGTGGGATAACCAGTGAGTGAAAAAATTAGACACCCACAATCACTGTCCTCTAAGAGTAAAGTCAAGTCAGTGTCTTGTTAGCTCCCTGGCAGGGTTAATTATACTGGGGGAAAGCCCAGGATTCAGACCAAATGTTTGAAGAAGCAGTCAGGACTAGGTTTCCGAGCTAGGGTTAGAGAAATTCAGATATGGGAGAAACACCCAGCAGAGTTCGGTTCACAGATGATTAGAATCAAGGTGTCAAGGCAAATCCAGGGACACAGGAGTAAAGGGTTAGAAAGAGTGGCTGTATTGCCACAGTTCAGGCCCATGGGCTGGGGTTGAGCGCCAAAGCAAGCACAGATTACTAACAGAGGGAGGAATGATTGTTTGTGAGCCTTCCAGACCTGGCAGAGTGTTCTCCACCTGACCCTGCCCGCAGCATAAATCCTGCATACCTAGACTGCCAGCTTCCCTGTCGTTTTCTAACAGACTCATGTCCGTATTCATTTCTTGAAGGTATGCGTGCCCTGTTCCTGTTTGTAGGCTATGAGAGAAAAAACGGGAGAGTAGAAAAGAATGGAAATGCGAGGGAATATAAGGAAACAAAATTGCTGTTGCTGAAGATTTAGGAAGGCAGTGGAATTGTTATTTGGAGGGTTAATGCTGGAGTAAAGCTGTTATCTTGTTGGAGAATGGAACTAATATTGGGCAGGTAGGTGGGGATAGAAAGGTGTCATGTTACGGTTGTCTCTATTGATCACTCTGATGAGCTTTCTGTCTTCTACTTGAGGAGTTATCTGGGTAATCAGAAAAACAGATTGGCTGTTTGAGGTTAGGTGCTTAGGCCAGGCTGAGTTAGTGATGTTAGGGCGTTTTCCCTTTCTTAGTGATCTGCCTAACTTGTCCTATTCCTTCAACCCTCAGAGTGTTTTCTCTACTCTTCCAACTCTCCTGTTGCATTGACTTAAGTCTTTCTGATCCTGGGCTGGTAACCTGCATTGTTGCCTCCTTGGTATTTGGATCTTGACTTCAGTGGCCTTGACCTGGGATTGAGACCTAGGTTGACCCTGATGCCTGGTGGGAAGGACCAGAGCTCTCCATCTGACGGTATCAGCAGCCCACAGCTCAACCCTTCCCTGAACAGGATGAGACTTTCATCTGCTTGTAGGTAGGCCTCCTTGGTGCAGATGGTACCACAAGTGTGGAAAGTCAGGGGTTGGCAAAATATGACTGGACTGGTTTTCCTGGTCATGCAGGGACCTTACCATTTCTGTCATAAGTTCCATTACTGAATAATTTTGGTGGGGACTGAGAACATAATTGGAGAAGGTTCATTTTAGTCTTTAAACACTGGTGTTG